ACAGACATGACTTCCAAAGGCAGAGACATGATGGGATTTGTAGTTAAAGCACAGCTGGAGGGCCGGAGGTTAGGGCACAGTAAAAGCATACATTTTTTTTATAGAAAAGCTCTACCTTTTATAATTGGAAAGCCATCCTTGAGCTCCAGTAAGTGGCTTTACCTAGGATGTGATGATGTCATCAGTCTGCTGCAGGCAGAAGGGAGGATTTCCTCAGTCTCCTCTCCCACAGTGATCAGTCTGATGCAATCAGGAGGAAGCATTTCCTCAGTCTCCTCTCCCACAGTGATTAGTCTGATGCAGGCAGGAGGAAGCATTTCCCCAGTCTCCTCTCCCACAGTGATCAGTCTGATGCAATCAGGAGGAAGCATTTCCTCAGTCTCCTCTCCCACAGTGATCAGTCTGCTGCAGGCAGGAGGAAGCATTTCCTCAGTCTCCTCTCCCACAGTGATCAGTCTGATGCAGGCAGGAGGAAGCATTTCCACAGTCTCCTCTCCTCCAGTGATCAGTCTGCTGCAGGCAGGAGGAAGTATTTCCTCAGTCTCCTCTCCCCCAGTGATCAGTCTGCTGCAGGCAGGAGGAAGTATTTCCTCAGTCTCCTCTCCCCCAGTGATCACACTGTAACTTTGAAGCAAGTCACAAGGTGAGTGGCTGCAGCAGGGGCTGATCTCTATCAAGACATTTGTGATCACAGCCAAGAACTGCACAAACACAGGGTTTACATGACTGCATCATCTCAGAGCCGGCATCTCAGTCCAGGAAGTAGAACGATGATACCTGAACAAAGATGGCGCTGTCCTTCAGAAGAAGCTGATGAGGGCATGTTTCGGGGGAGTACTGTGACCTCTGTGAGAGGTATTACATAGAAATAAAAACTAGCCAAAATTCCTTTTATTAAACACGTTTTATTGATTATTCTGAGTCACAAAAACTCACAAATGAACACAAAATACCTGGAGTGTTTCAGGATGAGACAAACACTTCACAATGTAATCATCACCCATTGGTCTGATTATAATAATACAGTACAGATCATTCAGTATTATTGCTGGCACAGAACAGACACATCTACCACCTCTGCAGCTGCCAGTCCCCATCGAGGAGCGTCAAAGAGTCTGATTTGTGCCGGTAGCATTAGTCTTTGGCAAATCACGTTGGATACAATTATTGTATGTATGGTTTGGGTACATGTGTACATTTGGTATGAAAGCATTTAGCATCTCCTATCAAGTTCTAGATTAGAGGGGCAGGGATCCCTTGATGGTTTTGTTATGGTGCTTCCTCACACTAAGGGGCTGATTTATAATGCAATCGCCCAGCGTGTAGCTGAGCAAGCAATGTTCATACCAGAATACTGCCACAAGATGGCGCTGAGGAGCACAGGAAATCCCTATGCTCCTCAGCTCTATCTAGTGGCAGTAATGGTCTGAGAATGTCCTTCGCTCAGCACCACGCTCGGCGATTGCATTATAAATCAGCCCCTTAGTGTGACGAAGCCCCATTACACATTACTGTGACTAGATGGAGCTGAGTTTCATATGTCCTATGCTCCCAAGCTCCACCTGGTGGCAATAATGGCCTGAAGAGCACAGGGAATTCCTATGCTCCTCCGCTCCATCTATGGGCAGTAATGATTTGCAAAGAATGTTGTCCGCTCAGCTACACGCTGGGCGAATCCATTATAACGGGCACATTTTGTCCGTTATAAATTAGTCCTATAGTAATACCTCTATTTTTACTTTGATGCAGGTATCTCCACTTCTACGGGCAGGTCTAGAGTGACCCAAGATGCAAGCCAGGCCCAAAGGGGCTGATTTATAATGCATTTGTCTACAATGTAGCTGAGCAAGCAATGTTCGCAGCACATTACTGCCACTGGATGGAGCTGCGGAGCATAGGGAATTCCTATCCCTTCAGCTCGATCAAGTGGAACTAATGGGCCGAGAACCTCCATTTCTCAGCTACACGTTGGGCGATTGTCCATAGGAAATTCGTATGCTCTTTGGCTCCATCTAGTGGCAGTAATGATGTGCTGAGAATGTCATTCGCTCAGCTCGTACGCGCTGGGTGAATACATTAGAAATCAGCTCTATATTTATACCTCTGTTTTTGCTCTCAGGCAGGTATCTCCCCATTTATGGGCAGGTCTAGAGTGGGCCAAGATGCAAGTCAGGCCCAGATTCAACCATTACCTGGCATGATCAAGCAAATACTTCTTTGAGATAAGGGGAAACGTGACCGCCCTGACTCTCCAAAGTGCTTTTTTAAATCTCTATGTAAAAAGAAGGAAAAATATTATGGCACGTGCACTGTGCTTTCACATAGTCCAAGGCGTGTCATGACACTACAGCATGGTGGCTCCCAGTTCACTGTTGTCGGGGAACTGTCTTTGGACCATCTTACAGCGCGATCTGGAGCCTCTGCAGGGTAAATGAACCTTTTTACAAAGATCTGTACAGCGGCAGCACATACGTCCCTCACCCTGCATACCTTGAAAATAATAATGCATATCCTGCAAAACATCTCAAGAGACCAAGAAAAGCCTCCATTGTGGAATCATCCCACATTAAGATCTAGCGGATGTCCAAAAGTGTTACACAGTCTGTCTCCGAATATCACATTAACATCAGGAACTGCACATGCTGCACCGCTGTATATGATCCGCTATATATGGAGGGGTCTCAGTGCCGCCATCACACAATACGCAGGAAGTGAGCGACGATTCAACGTCACCTTCACATCAATGAACAATTTCATGTTTCAAAACGAGATCACAAATATTAAGTTCCTAAGGACTAATAGGAATTGGGGTCTAGTGAGTGACACCATTCTACTTCTCATGCAATAACAGAATCTAATAATACCTTCATATAGCATCTAGAATAGGGCAGATGGCACATTTCAGACTGTCAGAGCACAATGGCGAGGTTTTATTGTACAGAACAGAGTAAGATTTATGTAATTATCTTTTAGATTTCCAAAAAAAAGCTATTATATGAGCCAGTAAGTCCAGACACTTTAAATGAGACCAGTCAGGGTAGACACATGGGAGCTGCCATTGCTGCTACGTTGAAAAAAGAAGGAAACCCTGAAGCTATCAATCTAATCTTTGCTGTACTAGTCATTGAGTCAGTGACCTGGAACAAGTATACCTCCAGTGAAGCCATGCTATTGGACTTGCATGCTTCTGCCAAGTCAAAGACTCTCAAAGTAGTAAAGCCAAGGATGATCATCACTAGGGATGCATTCAAGTTCGGTCTGAATCCAATCCGAGCATGAGCTCCTCCAGCGAATCCCCCACCCGCAGCTGGACATAAGCAAAGGGGCAGAATGCTGTAATGTAATTGGCCTGATATGTCCACGTGGCTATATTTGGTCAATGAGATTGATCTAATATGACCATATAGCCAAATAAGGTCAATGAGTTTGATCTAATATGACCATATAGCCATATAGGGTCAATGACATTGATCCAATATGATCATATAGCCATATAAGGTCAATGACGTCAGCACAAGCATCCCGCCCTAGCTAAGTGGGTGGGTGACCCCATGGCACTTCTGGGTTAGGAGGAGCTCAGGTTTAGTCCAGACGTGAGCTCATCCCTAATCATGAGAATAAAAACAACCTGTCAATAGCATCTCCCATATGTATGTTCTGATAGGTTCCCTTTAAAGATAAAAAAAAAAAATGATCTGGGGGGAAGCTGTCAAACAGAAGATGCAATAGGGGGCAGAAGATACAGATAATTATGTGATGTAAATTGTAGCCAATCGAGTTGAAAGGACAAGCATTTTCCAATACACAACTCATTTCCTGTACGATAATCCCTTGACCACCAGTGTAACTATGAGACCAAGCAGGTTAAAGCGACAGAGTGTCCCTGGTCATCCTGGGAGCTGGTGGTGCCCGCTGGGACTTGTAGCTCCACAACAGCTGGCACAATCGAATATTGCCATATCTCCTCATTTTTAAATTTAATGACAGCTCACATGAACAGGATATGCAGCAAAGTTCCCTGAATGCCACACGTCTCTGCGCTTTTGGGAACATTTCTTGTGACTTTTATTGCTTCTAGAGGTGCACCGAAATGAACATTTTTAAACGAAAATATAAAAATCTCAGGCCGAAACTGAAACAATTTTTTAAAACCTTTTTCAATCTTTTAAAATATTTAATTTTTATTTATTATTATTTTTTGAAATTGTATTTCTTTTTTAAGTAATGTAATTATTTATCTTCATTAAAGAATTCTTTTTTTTTTAACTTTATATTTTTCTTTAG